ATAGAGAAAGATTGAAAATATAAAAAAAATATAGGATGACACATTAAAAAAAGAAATAAGAAAAAAAGAGCTAAGAGTAGAATAAAATTAAGAAGAAACCAAAATCAAGAAAACGTAGTATAAAAAATTACTTACTGTCTTCTCTGTGACTGAAATGGCAAAAACAAAAGGAGGTAAATATAAAAAATGCAGAAAATAACTAACAAATAGACGTTATATGTAAGTACGTACTTAAAAAATAGAACTGTAAAGTAAAATTTGTGAGAAAGCAAAGGATAAAAAGAAGAGTACTAAGAAAGAAATAAGTTAAAGTTTATAGAAAAAACACAAAAAAACATTTTTATTTTGTACTCAATGTTAAAGAGTGCTTTTATCAACTAATTTCAATAGATAAAGTAGTCTTTTATCGTCTAGTGAAATAAAATAACTTTTATCTACTGTTTATATTCATTCGGTAGATAAAGTAGTCTTTTATAGTCTAGTGAAATAAAGTATTTTTTATTTACTCTTTTTTGACCAGTGTATTCATCAGCCAGTTACAAGAATTTCTGGTGGTACAAAATAAAACGAAATATTGTTTATCTACTCGTAAAAAAGTCCATTTGTGACTTCGTCACTCTTAAACTTAACCTTTTCACTTATAGATAAACAATTTCTTTATTGTCTTGTATAATAAATAATTATACTTACTGTTATTCATTAAAAGTATTCGTATTTGTTATTAGAGAAACAATATAAAAAAAGAAAAAACCCTGAAAAACAATACACTTACCAAAGAAAAAAAAAGGAAGACATATATGAAGAGTAAAAAAAAGTGACACCATTGTGTTTTAGAAAAAAATTCTCACAGTTTAACAAAAGAAGATAAGAAAAGCAAATGCTAAACAAGGCTAAAAAGTCATTATAACCAAAAAATAAAAAATCAAAAGCACATAGAAACTACAATTAAGAAGATGTAGTAGAACACTAAAGTACGAATACGATTTGAATAAAAAATTAAAAATTATCCGGCTGCTCTAAACAAATTTATTTAATGTATTAATTTTTAATAACTTTTAGGAAAATTTAAATAATAATTTAATAAGATCATAAAAATAGT